ATCACCACACTTGTCTCTGGTTTTCCATTATTTTCTTCACACTACCTGGCAGCAGTGATTGGGTCCATGTTGGCTACTGACGTGGTCATCACTCTGTGATAGGATTCAGAAGGAATCCCGGATGATGCCCCCACTTGTGAATGAGGCCTAATTATACTCTCTGCTATAATGCAGACCTGTTACACTGACTGTTACATTGCCCTACATATACAAAGTACAGGTTTGTTCTGGGGTCTATTTATGACATTGTTCTATGTGCTGTCGTAGTTTCATAGAAACTATACCAACACATTTTTCCTGTCTTGTTTTCATGGTAATACCTTTTAATATGTTACACATGCATTGTCTTTGTGTTTGCCTATATATAATTGTGTTCTTTCCTCACTCTGTAGCTAGGGCATGTTCTTTGTCGTTAGTCCCTCCCTTCTTCATGCTTAGTCTCCATTTTTGTTTTCCTTATGTACTGTGTTCAGCTGGAGATATACACATCATGTATTTTTGACCTGATGATTTGATGTTCATCTGTATGATCTTTATGAATTTTTGAGTAAAACTTTCTACGATTTGCTGGATGTCATTTGGATTTAGAGTCACTGTGTGCTAATCCTACTGAGGTTGTGAGTATGACATCTCATTCACTGGGCCAGTCCGAGATTCCACTTGCAGTGCTTAGATTGGAGAGGCAAAACACTTTTGTTGTGCGATACTCCAAAGGAGTTCTGTTCAAGGTACAGTTCCAGTGTTTCCTCTTGCCTTGTTGACCAGAATCAGCATGCTTCATTCATATTGCGGAGCGTGCAGTGCAATATAACAAACTTCAGAGAAAGAATACCAGATCAGAATACTGATTACTATACTACAGTATTATACAAAATTCAGATAATTTCCATCCCCTCCATGCGGGGGGGGGGGGGGGCTTGGGGAGGCAGAGGAATTACATTTAAAGGTTTGGTTTTAAGGTTGGCTTTAAAAACTTTGTACACCCAGCATGTTTCTCCAGATAAATTAAGGAATAATTAAGGAATGGCACAATTAGGGATACAGCTGAGCTATAACATAATCAATGAGCCTTGAGAAAGGAGCAGTTACGCTCTGAAACATGTAGCTACTCTCCCCACAGTGTGTCCCTCCCAGGTGTGACAACATTTCCAGTCTTGTGTAGTCCATGATTCTCCGAGGTGGCTCCAGGCTTTCTGGTTTTGTTCCTGTTAAAATTATACTTTTTAAAAATGCATTAGGTTACATGCATAAGTGTGAACCGTGTTACTGATTAAAGCAAACTAAATAGCAATGTAAGTTCATCCAGTGAGCACCCATATGATAATTTGCTTAAAAAACAAAAACAAAAAAAACCTGTGTTGAAGTAGTTAGATAATATACTTACATTTGAAGCTCCTAAAACATCAGCAAGCTTGTGAGTGAGAATGCTCCACTCCTCCATGTAGACAACCTTTAAATCAGCTAAGTAACTCCTCTTCCTATTTTACACCAGTAATTCACCATTATTCCTCGCTATGCCTGGAATCCCTTCAATACTATCATGTACTGTAGGTTTTTTGATTATGTCTCTGACTCCAGCTCTTGACTTATCTTGATTGTTGATAGTGCACAGATAGATAAATCCAACATTAATGGTGAAAAAAATGTGAAGTGTTGTATCCTGTGTGCCAGGCTCTCATCTACTGTGCCTAATGATATATCCAGCCTTTAGTAAATCTATAATCCTATTCTCTAATGTAATATGTACATCAAAGCAAAAGATCACATACTGTTAGTACTACTGCAGGGCTGGTGAGGACACTTTTGATACAAAGTTCCTGCAGCCCACTTATGTGTTATGTTGCCAACTATGCCAAGAAATCAACCATTATTTACAGCTGGTATCCAAGGAAGGATTTTATCCTTCAGTCCTTCTTAATCAGTGCAACTAGAGTTACACCTGAAATTATGCCTAGTATAGATCTTTGTGGTTACTCTTTTGTATATGAACAACCCAGAATCCCTCTACAGTGTATTGGTTTTTGTATTATGTTTCATCTCCATGCCTGTCATCTGGAGATCTTCATGTAAGGCAATCTGGTGAGAACAATAATTCTAGCATCAGAACTTCTGTGTGACTCTAAACTGGTAACTTGTAAAGGCTTTTAGAACATTGCCTATGAAGATTTTTAGGTATCATAGTTTGGTACCATTCCACGTGCATAAGCAATTTTAAAGCGTGACATGTTTGCTATCTATTTACTTGATGTAACATCATCTTTTATATTTTGCAAAAAAGGGTATTATATTGTGCTTTTGTGCATTAAAATTAATTAAAGTGTTTGAAAAACCACTGCGCAAATACAATGTGACATAAAATGTATGCAAAACCCACCATTTTATTCTCTAGGGCCTCTGCTTAAAAAAATATAACGTTTAGGTGGAACACTTCCTCCTGCCAAACTTCGATGACTTGCTGCTCCTTCCCAAATGTCCTCAAATCCCACATTGTGATAGTCCTAACAGCCGCGTTTTGCATTGCCCTGGTCCTGAGATTTTCTATTCTCTTCTGAAAGTCACATGCCCTTTCCCTCTCTCTTCCACTCTCTCCATCAGTCTCTCCTAGTTCTCCCCCCCCCTCTCTTTTTTCTTTTTCTTTTTTCTGTTCACCTTTGTCTCCTTCCTCATGCCTCATATGGAACCCCTAAATGTTCAGTGGGAACAGTGTTCCTTTTCAGTTGCTCATTCAGGTCCCATCTTCCCTTGTAGCACTGTGCCCCTTTATGTTTTCCTATGGTTCCTTGCAACAAGTCTTTTATACAATAATCCTCCTTCTCTGTAGGACACCAAGTTTTCTTTTTGTATTTATTTATGTTTGTACATGTTAATGGACTGTCCTATGCCTGTTTCCTTCTCATGTATCTGAAATTAATAAAAAGTTTGAACATGGAAACAAATATATCATGTTTGAAGATTTCAAAGTACTTTTCTAGCAAAGAATTATGTTTTTACATGTAGGAGAGGAATGTCAGAATTGGCCTGGACTGTAGTGGTTAAATAAGAATATTATTAATATTAATACAAATAATGATGATAATAATTATATATACCGTATTTGCCGGCGTATAAGACGACTTTTTTGCCCTGAAAAACATGCCTCCAAGTGGGGGGGTCGTCTTATACGCCGGGTGCACTTCAGTTGGGATAGACATAGCTGCCATAGTGGCCTTCCGATACTCGCCCGGTGCCCATAGTGGCCTCCCGATGCCCACCCACCTCATTCTACATACCATCCAGTATCGCGCGGTATCCAGTGTGGCCGCGGCGGGTCATCAGCGTGGCTGCGGCGAGCATCAGCAGCGATACAGGGGTGCCAGCCTTTTCGGCGTGACCGGCCCGTTCTGCTCGGCGGGAAGCAGTGGCGCTCCGGCCCGCCCCTTATCTACGCAGAGCTCACACATGTGGACTTGTGCACTAGTGCCAATTACAGGGAGATGCAGGGACTGGCCGGAGGCGCTGCGGTCGCGTTGTGGCCGTACAATGGTGACAATGACAGGTACTGTAATGACACTAATACTAATGGAACTCATGTGAAACCGGTAACAATAAATGCACACAGGGGTATACTTTTATACATTTTACAACTTTCTCCTCGCCCCCTCCCCCCTTCTTATGCATACCTTGATAAATACTCCCTATCCAAATCTCTTATCAGGTCATAATATACCGTATGTCACTTGGTATTAATATATGGTACGGTACTATAATACTGGTACTATCCATAATATGGATTAAAGGGCGGACCAGACTGCTGCTAGTGACATGGAGACAGGGAGACAGGGAGGGCATCTACCCGTCCATAGGGTTCACTTGGAGTGTTGCTTGCGCTGAGGAGGGAGTGTGTTTTCTTTAGTGAATTACGTTTAATAAACTGGCACTGTTTTATGTTTACTGTACATATTTGATAACATACAGCCTTGTGAGAGTTTTCCTGCATGTCATAAGTATTCGAATATAAATTAACATGTTGAAATCAAATCTGATGTTCTTTTACGTTTATTTGGTGTGTGGAAGGTGTGCGGAAGAGGGGGTAGTCTTATACGGCGAGTATATAACAAACTCTATATTTTGAGTGGAAATGTTGGGGGTCGTCTTATACGCCCAGTCGTCTTATACGCCGGCAAATACGGTATATATATATATATATAGATATATATGTGTGTGTGTGTATATATATATATATGTGTATATATATGTGTATGTCTATGTGTATGTATATATATATATATATATATATATATATATATATTATGTGTATGTCTATGTGTATGTATATATATATATATATATATATATATATATATGTGTATGTATATATATTATATATATATATTATATATATATATATATATGTGTGTGTGTGTGTGTAAATTTAAATCCTATTATATTCGTAGCTTTATGTATTTGTATTTGTTTGCCCCTATATATTTTACTAATAAATGTGTTCATAAGTTCAACTTTTTTTTGTCCTCCAGATGCAGAGCTGAAAAAATAACAGACATAAGGTTAGTACAAAACATTTTTACATAATAAAGAAAGTAACTGACAATCAGATACACAAAATTGTTTAATACATCACAAATGAAAAAGATTACAAACAAGCATTGCATGAAATGTTTGGGAAACAGGTGTCATTTATTCAGTCATATACACACTGACCAGCAGATATCACTGTTGCTTCGCATCTGTCTACAGCCAAGCCATGGTAAAGTTTCTTACAGAACCACATTCCATGCTGTGATCTCTAGAGATGAGCGAAGTATTCAAAAATTCGATTCGACTTGATTCGGTAGCGAATTCGTAGAAAAAATTCGATTCGAGTTATGTAGGGGAATATATTCGCTGTGAATTTAACTTAAAAAAGGGTGTTTCTAGGCTTCAGAGAGACATAATATTAGTGCTTAAACACTGTACCTTTAATTTAAATGCCCTTGGAGTCTGCTGGGGAAGAGAAATAATGGGACTGTCAGGCAGTAGACATGCAGATGAGTGCCGTTCGATCTTAGAATCACCGCACACTTCACTCATTTGGGCAGTCACGGGGGCCAAAATGCAGAGTGTGGAGCAGCCACAGTGTGGCGGTGGAGAGCAGCAGCAATGGGAGGCCATACAGCACCCTATGACAAAAATGGAACCACCAGCAGTGTGAGGAGACCCTGAAAGTGGCACATGGCAGAGTGTGGTGGGCGATGGGAGACAGCAGCAATGGGAGGCCGTACAGGGACCCATGACAGACTCTGGACCTGGCAGCAGCATGAGGAGGTGCAGGCGGTATATAGGGGGCCTATGGCAGATTAGGGGCCTGGCAGCAGCTATGGGAGGCCCGTAATCTGCCAGCACCCTATGTCAAAAAATTCTACACACCAGCAGTGTGTGAGGAGACCTGAAAGTGGCACATGGCAGAGTGTGGCGATGGAGACAGCAGCAATGGGAGGCCGTACAGGGACCCATGACAGACTCTGGACCTATGGCAGCAGCATGAGGAGGCGGTATATAGGGGCCTATGGCAGATTAGGGGCCTGGCAGCAGCTATGGGAGGCCCATAGTAATCTGCCAGCACCCTATGTCAAAAAATTCTAACACACCAGCAATAGTGTGAGGAGACCTGAAAGTGGCACATGGCAGAGTGTGGCGATGGAGACAGCAGCAATGGGAGGCCGTACAGGGACCCATGATGAGAGACTCTGGGACCTGGCAGCAGCATGAGGAAGCGGTATATAGGGGCCTATGGCAGATTAGGGGCCTGGCAGCAGCAATGGGAGGCCCATAATCTGCCAGCACCCTATGTCAAAAAATTCTACCACACCAGCAGTGTGTGAGGAGACCTGAAAGTGGCACACATGGCAGAGTGTGGCGATGGAGACAGCAGCAATGGGAGGCCGTACAGGGACCCAAGACAGACTCTGGACCTGGCAGCAGCATGAGGAGGCGGTATATAGGGGCCCATGGCAGATTAGGGGCCTGGCAGCAGCTATGGAGGAGGCCCGTAATCTGCCAGCACCCTATGTCAAAAAATTCTAACACACCAGCAGTGTGTGAGGAGACCTGAAAGTGGCACAATGGCAGAGTGTGGCGATGGAGACAGCAGCAATGGGAGGCCGTACAGGGACCCATGACAGACTCTGGACCTGGCAGCAGCATGAGGAGAGCGGTATAAGGTATAGGGGCCTATGGCAGATTAGGGGCCTGGCAGCAGCTATGGGAGGCCCGTAATCTGCCAGCACCCTATGTCAAAAAATTCTACACACCAGCAGTGTGTGAGGAGACCTGAAAGTGGCACATGGCAGAGTGTGGCGATGGAGACAGCAGCAATGGGAGGCCGTACAGGGACCCATGAGAGACTCTGGACCTGGCAGCAGCATGAGGAGGCGGTATATAGGGGCCTATGGCAGATTAGGGGCCTGGCAGCAGCTATGGGAGGCCCGTAATCTGCCAGCACCCTATGTCAAAAAATTCTACACACCAGCAGTGTGTGAGGAGACCTGAAAGTGGCACATGGCAGAGTGTGGCGATGGAGACAGCAGCAATGGGAGGCCGTACAGGGGACCCATGACAGACTCTGGACCTGGCAGCAGCATGAGGAGGCGGTATATAGGGGCCCCATGGCAGATTAGGGGCCTGGCAGCAGCTATGGGAGGCCCGTAATCTGCCAGCACCCTATGTCAAAAAATTCTAACACACCAGCAGTGTGTGAGGAGACCTGAAAGTGGCACATGGCAGAGTGTGGCGATGGAGACAGCAGCAATGGGAGGCCGTACAGGGACCCATGAGAGACTCTGGACCTGGCAGCAGCATGAGGAGGCGGTATATAGGGGCCCATGGCAGATTAGGGGCCTGGCAGCAGCTATGGGAGGCCCGTAATCTGCCAGCACCCTATGTCAAAAAAAAATTCTACACACCAGCAGTGTGAAGGAGACCTGAAAGTGGCACATGGCAGAGTGTGGCGATGGAGACAGCAGCAATGGGAGGCCGTACAGGGGACCCATGAGAGACTCTGGACCTGGCAGCAGCATGAGGAGGCGGTATATAGGGCCTATGGCAGATTAGGGGCCTGGCAGCAGCTATGGGAGAGGCCCGTAATCTGCCAGCACCCTATGTCAAAAAATTCTAACACACCACAGTGTGAGGAGACCTGAAAGTGGCACATGGCAGAGTGTGGCGATGGAGACAGCAGCAATGGGAGGCCGTACAGGGACCCATGAGAGAGACTCTGGACCTGGCAGCAGCATGAGGAGGCGGTATATAGGGGGCCCATGGCAGATTAGGGCCTGGCAGCAGCTATGGGAGGCCCGTAATCTGCCAGCACCCTATGTCAAAAAAATTTCACACACACAGCAGTGTGTGAGGAGACCTGAAAGTGGCACATGGCAGCAGAGTGTGGCGATGGAGACAGCAGCAATGGGAGGGGAGGCCGTACAGGGACCCATGAGAGACTCTGGACCTGGCAGCAGCATGAGAGAGCGGTATATAGGGGCCCATGGCAGATTAGGGGCCTGGCAGCAGCTATGGGAGGCCCGTAATCTGCCAGCACCCTATGTCAAAAAATTCAACACACCAGCAGTGTGTGTGAGGAGACCCTGAAAGTGGCACATGGCAGAGTGTGGCGATGGAGACAGCAGCAATGGGAGGCCGTACAGGGACCCATGAGAGACTCTGGACCTGGCAGCAGCATGAGGAGGCGGTATATAGGGGCCCATGGCAGATTAGGGCCTGGCAGCAGCTATGGGAGGCCCGTAATCTGCCAGCACCCTATGTCAAAAAATTCTAACACACCAGCAGTGTGAGGAGACCTGAAAGTGGCACATGGCAGAGTGTGGCGATGGAGACAGCAGCAATGGGAGGCCGTACAGGGACCCATGACAGACTCTGGACCTGGCAGCAGCATGAGGAGGAGGCGGTATATATAGGGGCCCATGGCAGATTAGGGGCCTGGCAGCAGCTATGGAGGCCCGTAATCTGCCAGCACCCTATGTCAAAAAATTCTACACACACAGCAGTGTGTGAGGAGACCTGAAAGTGGCACATGGCAGAGAGTGTGGCGATGGAGACAGCAGCAATGGGAGGCCGTACAGGGACCCATGACAGACTCTGGACCTGGCAGCAGCATGAGGAGGCGGTATATATAGGGGCATATGGCAGATTAGGGGCCTGGCAGCAGCAGCTATGGGAGGCCCGTAATCTGCCAGCACCCTATGTCAAAAAATTCTACACACCAGCAGTGTGTGAGAGAGACCTGAAAGTGGCACATGGCAGAGTGTGGGCGATGGAGACAGCAGCAATGGGAGGCCGTACAGGGACCCATGACAGACTCTGGACCTGGCAGCAGCATGAGGAGGCGGTATATAGGGGCCCATGGCAGATTAGGGGGCCTGGCAGCAGCTATGGGAGGCCCGTAATCTGCCAGCACCCTATGTCAAAAAATTCTAACACACCCAGCAGTGTGTGAGGAGACCTGAAAAGTGGCACATGGCAGAGTGTGGCGATGGAGACAGCAGCAATGGGAGGCCGTACAGGGACCCATGAGAGACTCTGGACCTGGCAGCAGCATGAGGAGGCGGTATATAGGGGGCCCATATGGCAGATTAGGGGCCTGGCAGCAGCAAGCTATGGAGGCCCGTAATCTGCCAGCACCCTATGTCAAAAAATTCTAACACACCAGCAGTGTGAGGAGACCTGAAAGTGGCACATGGCAGAGTGTGTGGCGATGGAGACAGCAGCAATGGGAGGCCGTACAGGGACCCATGAGAGACTCTGGACCTGGCAGCAGCATGAGGAGGCGGTATATATAGGGGCCCATGGCAGATTAGGGGCCTGGCAGCAGCTATGGGAGGCCCGTAATCTGCCAGCACCCTATGTCAAAAAAATTCTACACACCAGCAGTGTGTGAGGAGACCTGAAAGTGGCACATGGCAGAGTGTGGCGATGGAGACAGCAGCAGCAATGGGAGGCCGTACAGGGACCCATGAGAGACTCTGGACCTGGCAGCAGCATGAGGAGGCGGTATATAGGGGCCCATGGCAGATTAGGGGCCTGGCAGCAGCTATGGGAGGCCCGTAATCTGCCAGCAGCACCCTATGTCAAAAAATTCACACACCAGCAGTGTGTGTGAGGAGACCTGAAAGTGGCACATGGCAGAGTGTGGGCGATGGAGACAGCAGCAATGGGAGGCCCGTACAGGGACCCATGAGAGAGACTCTGGACCTGGCAGCAGCATGAGGAGGCGGTATATAGGGGGGGCTATGGCAGATTAGGGGCCTGGCAGCAGCTATGGGAGGCCCGTAATAATCTGCCAGCACCCCTATGTCAAAAAAATTCTACACACCAGCAGTGTGTGAGAGAGACCTGAAAGTGGCACATGGCAGAGTGTGGCGATGGAGACAGCAGCAATGGGAGGCCGTACAGGGACCCATGACAGACTCTGGAGACCTGGCAGCAGCATGAGGAGGCGGTATATAGGGGCCCATGGCAGATTAGGGGCCTGGCAGCAGCTATGGGGAGGCCCGTAATCTGCCAGCACCCTATGTCAAAAAAAATCTAACACACCAGCAGTGTGAGTGAGGAGACCTGAAAGTGGCACATGGCAGAGTGTGTGTCGATGGAGACAGCAGCAATGGGAGGCCGTACAGGGACCCATGAGAGACTCTGGACCTGGCAGCAGCATGAGGAGGCGGTATATAGGGGGCCCATGGCAGATTAGGGGCCTGGCAGCAGCTATGGGAGGCCCGAAATCTGCCAGCACCCTATGTCAAAAAATTCTACACACCAGCAGTGTGTGAGGAGACCTGAAAGTGGCACATGGCAGAGTGTGTGCGATGGAGACAGCAGCAATGGGAGGCCGTACAGGGACCCATGAGAGACTCTGGACCTGGCAGCAGCATGAGGAGGCGGTATATAGGGGCCCATGGCAGATTAGGGGCCTGGCAGCAGCAATGGGAGGCCCGTAATCTGCCAGCACCCTATGTCAAAAAATTCAACACACACCAGCAGTGTGAGGAGACCTGAAAGTGGCACATGGCAGAGTGTGTGGCGATGGAGACAGCAGCAGCAATGGGAGGCCGTACAGGGACCCATGACAGACTCTGGACCTGGCAGCAGCATGAGGAGGAGGCGGTATATAGGGGCCTATGGCAGATTAGGGGCCTGGCAGCAGCTATGGGAGGCCCGTAATCTGCCAGCACCCTATGTCAAAAAATTCTACACACCAGCAGTGTGTGAGGAGACCTGAAAGTGGCACATGGCAGAGTGTGGCGATGGAGACAGCAGCAATGGGAGGCCGTACAGGGACCCATGAGAGCACTCTGGACCTGGCAGCAGCATGAGGAGGCGGTATATAGGGGCCTATGGCAGATTAGGGGCCTGGCAGCAGCTATGGGAGGCCCGTAATCTGCCAGCACCCTATGTCAAAAAATTCAACACACACACACAGCAGTGTGTGGAGACCTGAAAGTGGCACATGGCAGAGTGTGGCGATGGAGACAGCAGCAATGGGAGGCCGTACAGGGACCCATGACAGAGACTCTGGACCTGGCAGCAGCATGAGGAGGCGGTATATAGGGGCCTATGGCAGATTAGGGGCCTGGCAGCAGCTATGGGAGGCCCGTAATCTGCCAGCACCCTATGTCAAAAAATTCATTTCACACACCAGCAGTGTGTGAGGAGACCTGAAAGTGGCACATGGCAGAGTGTGGCGATGGAGACAGCAGCAATGGGGAGGCCCGTACAGGGACCCATGACAGACTCTGGACCTGGCAGCAGCATGAGGAGGCGGTATATAGGGGCCCATGGCAGATTAGGGGCCTGGCAGCAGCTATGGGAGGCCCGTAATCTGCCAGCACCCTATGTCAAAAAAATTCTACACACACCAGCATGTGTGTGAGGAGACCTGAAAGTGGCACATGGCAGAGTGTGGGCGATGGAGACAGCAGCAATGGGAGGCCGTACAGGGACCCATGAGAGACTCTGGACCTGGCAGCAGCATGAGGAGGCGGTATATAGGGGCCCTATGGCAGATTAGGGGCCTGGCAGCAGCTATGGGGAGGCCCGTAAATCTGCCAGCACCCTATGTCAAAAAAAATTCTACACACCAGCAGTGTGTGAGGAGACCTGAAAGTGTGGCACATGGCAGAGTGTGGCGATGGAGACAGCAGCAATGGGAGGCCGTACAGGGACCCATGAGAGACTCTGGACCTGGCAGCAGCATGAGGAGGCGGTATATAGGGGGCCTATGGCAGATTAGGGGCCTGGCAGCAGCTATGGGAGGCCCCGTAATCTGCCAGCACCCTATGTCAAAAAAAATTCTACACACCAGCAGTGTGTGAGGAGACCTGAAAGTGGCACATGGCAGAGTGTGGCGATGGAGACA